GAAGAAGAAGAAGAAGAAGAAGAAGAAGAAGAAGAAGAAGAAGAAGAAGAAGAAGAAGAAGAAGAAGAAGAGATTGGATTTATACCCCGCCCTTCACAGCAAAAAGTGTCATTGGATGAAATATTAGGGAATACAGAGGTAGGTAAATTCTGTTTTGAATTAAATGGCTCTTCCACCTTGAATATGTGAAATCAGAAGTTAATTAATCCAAAGTAATTACATAACTGGTTCTGCAATTGCTGTCATCACTCCACATTTCAGTCCCCACATAATGTATGAGTATGTCCCTAAAGGCTGAGAAAAAAACCCTCAGTCCACCCCAATTCTGAGTGTGGCAAGAAGATTAAAGACAGTAATGACTGGTGGTAGAAAGTGCCATCAAGTTGCAGCTGATTTATGGTGACCCATGCTCCCTCTAAGCTGTGAAGTCTTGTGAGCAAAAAGTCTACTTTGTGAGCTACTGGCATTAAAGTTGTAAGTGAGCGATCGGGCTACTGCATAAATGTAGTTTGCTCTGGAGCCATCCTTCCTGAGCTAAGAAAAAACGTGTGAGCTGGAGGCTAGAAAACTGTGAGCTGGCTCACACTAACTCAGCTTAGAGGGAACATTGAGGTGACCCCACAGGATTTCCAAGACAGACATTCAGAGGTCATTTGTCATTGTCTGCCTCTTCACAGGAACTCTGAAAATCCTTGGTGGGCTCCCATCCAAGTACTAACCAGAACAAGCCTGGGCCATCCAGGTCAGGGAAGAAATAACTAAATCCCGGTTAAATGAATTGGAGAGTGCACTCTATTATCCTATTTTTCAAACACATACTATTCAAAGGGGGAATCACACTTTCCCCCAAAACTGTCAGTCTTCTTAAAATTTTAGATGTTGATTTCCAAATCTGACTTTAAACTCAGCTTTCGGGTTCCAGACTTTCATCTTGACATCACATTTTGACATCTGCCTGTTGCTGATTAAACACGGTCAATACCAAATGGACTAAATGTCATTATAAGCCCCCTATCAGATAATGTCAGATGTTACAAAAGCTTCAGATGTCAAATGCCTATAAACAAACACCAAACCTGTAGCAAAGAGCTGGACAGTAATCACACCCCAGAAGAAAGTTTAGAGAATATTAACCATCAAAATCCTCAGAGGAGAATTTTTAGGCAAGGTCATTTTAGCCCCTTCCTGGATATCTGATCATATATCTCTTCCATAATCTTTAGTTTAGCTCACACCAATGGAGGGAGGCTTGGAGTAGGTCTCACAAAGTTCACTGAATTCAGCATACCAGCTCTTTGCCAATTCTGTGCATATTTACTCAAATTACTCCCAGGTAATTGTGCATAGTACCATCGTACCTTAGCACCAGAACTTTTAAAAATGTAAAATTTCCCCCTTTAATATACAGCACTCCTGAGTTTTACGTGCCCTTTCTTTTGTCCCTGTGTTACTTTGGCCGTCTGAATGTTGCTCGATGCCGTTCAGTGGGTTGGGCTGGTGCGCTGCCTCCTTCCTGATCCCCCAGGTTAACAAATCAAGCCCTTGCTGAATTTCAAATCTAGTGCTGAATAGCAACCCGGCATGAGCTTACTGAGGGAACGAATGCCAAGCAGCACGGATAATGAAGTGACCAAATAATGAACCTCAAGAATAATGAAGTGTTCCAATCATGACCTACCCGAGACTGAACCAGCATGTAATGAACAAGCATATAACAAATGCATGCTTCAGCTAATTCTGGAAAGGAGGCCTTTTGGAAGCCAAACAATGATTTGCCTTTGAACCTGCCCTCACAAACACAGGATTTCAGGAAACTCCAGGCAACCTGTATTGTACGTGGAACTGGGAAGCACCATGATTTCTCCCCTCTAGTCCTGAAAGACCAGGCCCGAATCCCTACAGACACATGAAGGTTTCTGGAAACTGTGGCCTTTCATCTGGGTAAAAGGCCCACCCTCCCAGTACTCCTTGCAGTAGGGTAAAACACAGCAAGGCTAGAAGGAGGCTTCCATGGCATTACAATGTTGTCAGCCAACAAATGACTGTGTCCAAAACACCTGGTTCTGCCTGACAATAGCTAAGCTAGGGTTGCCAGCCTCCAGGTGGGGCCTGGGGATCTCCCGCTTTTACAACTGATCTCCAGCTGACAGAGATCAGCTCCCCCGGAGAAAATGGCTGCTTTGAAGGATGGACTCTATGGCATTGGACCCTGCTGAGGCCCCTCCCCTTCCCAAACTCTGCCCTCTCCTGGATCCACCCCCAAAGTCTCCAGGTATTTTCCAACCCAGACCTGGCAACCCTAAGCTAAGCAGGGCTGAAGAAAGCATAAAATGGAGGGATCATTTTTCCCTACTGGGCCTCAGAGCCATGGAGAGATTTTTCTTATGCACCTGTTTATTCTTCTTCCTTCTGCTGCCTTCAGTCTTGGGTACCAGGTGGTCACAAGAATTGGTGCTTAGACGCTGCTACTGTACTCCAGCTAGCCAGCCCAATATGATTTTCTTCTGAGCCTCACCCCAAGACCAATAAACAGGGCAGCACAAGTCATCAAACATGCCCAGAGCCATAGCAATTCCTGAGAGAATAGGGAATTGCTATGGCCTGTGATCTTTGCCCGGCTTCTTTCATGTCTTTGATATATTGGAGAGTGACTCATAATGAATTAACTTCAGCTTCCATTCTCTCTTTCCCACAGTCTCCATTGATAAACACTTTTCAATCATAATAACATCTTGGCTTTGGGTAGCTTCAGGGGGGTTGTTTCAGCAGTATATTTTGTGTTTGCACATAAATCTTGCTTTTGAAAAAGCTGTTACACATCCCAGGATCGGCAGGTGCCGAGTTATAAATCTAACTCAATCCTGCCAAACAAAGAAATATTTCTTAATGAAGGTTTCCCTGTACGCTTCTGCCTAGTGTGGGAGAAGGGCAAGGGTGGGTTATGATCACCAGCAGACTTCAGAAATCTATTGCAATGATAGATGTTTAATCCGAAAACAAAGGCCAGCAGCTACAGCTTTAAGACAGAGATGTTAATAATATGAACATCTGTGATTTGTTCCTTCAACATTAGTGGGGTAACAAGCTATTTAGCTTTTGGGGTTTTTTAAAAAGGCAACCGAGCTGTGTGTTTGTGTGAACTTATATTTGCATATGTGACTTGATGTCAGTACTCTGATTTCTTACAGATGCACCATTTAACTCGGGGTCAAACTAGATACTGTTCTAGCTATAGGATTGCAGCTGAAAACTGCAGGCAAATGTTAAAGTTCTCCTTCTTTCCCCCTAATATTTAGACTCACTCTCCCCTCCTGTGACATCACCAGGCTGCCTTTCTGCACTCTATGCCATTGCAAATGGTGACAAGGAAATGACACACAAAGTTCATCTATTGTAAAGAAAGAGTAAAGACTTGACTCAAAGCAGCCATTTTCAGCAGCAGCACTTGATCCCAGGCTGCCATTTTCGGTGCCAGTTTGAACAACACCTGAACAACACTTCCTGTGACATCATCAGACTGTGCATTTCTGCACTCCATTCCACTGCATGTTGTGTCAAGGAAATGACACATGAAAGCCTTTCTATCGTAGAGAAAGAGCAAAGACTTGACTCAGGGCTGCCATTTTCAGCAGCAGCACTTGATCCCAGACTGCCATTTTCAGTGTCAGTCCTGACTTGAGCATCACATCTGGATATTGCCATTCCCCAGGTCTGAGCGGGGAATCCCCCCATTTTGGGGGCTCCTGCCCACCACCGGTCAGCTGGCTGGCAAAACCCCATGCACAAACAGCAACATCCCTGTGTGACGTCCCCGATGTGATGACATCACCTGGAAGTGACATCACCACTGTTATGTATTGAAAATTGCTTACATGAATCACCTCATTCACCTCCCATGTTAAGCTTGAGCCAGACGAAGTCTCCTAAACGCTGGAACGCTATTGGTCGCTCTACAACAAGCGACCAATCTGAGAAGGACTAATTCCTGAGCGGGAAGAACTTTCATTGGTCCTTATCCACACAACCACATTGGTTGATATTTGTAAACAGGCGTGGCTACATTAGCCCGGGAAGGTTTAAAAGGAGCCTAGCTCCTAATGTTAAGCTGTTGTGGTTATGAATGCGTTTAAGTGCTTGTTCGTTACTTCAATAAAGCTGAATCACTTTGCTGAAATCACTCTCCGGATCTTTGTTAGCGGCGATCTAACAACCACGTTGGGTACGTCACATGGCAATGTTCTGGTTTTGGGGCAAAACTCCATGGTTTGACCCCAATTTTACTATAGAGTCTTGCCCAAAACCAGAGTGTCACCCCCAATGTTGCTGAGATGATGACATCACTTCCGGATGACATCAGAGTGTTGGGGATGTCCCCACCCACTCCCAGAATGCCTCCCAGATGCCCCCGCCGGCAAGACAAGGGGACCTGGCACCCCTACATCTGGATCCATCAAAAAAAAGCTTACATGAGCGAATCCAATCACATTTTTCATTCATTCTAAAGTCAAGGAAGAAAAGAAGAAACTCCACAAACTTCCAGTGAGGATCATGGCCTTACCAAGAACGGTCAGTCTGGCTGGTCTGGACCGGATGGCCGCTTGAATGGCCTGGCACTCATACACAGCATCATCTTGAAGGTCAGCTCTCAATATCTTCAGGTGATGCTCCCCAGATAAATGGTCCCCCACAACCAAGTAGCGTGGGTAACCTGTGGAGTACAAAATACAAGGAAGGTTGTAGGCGTACCATAGGCATGTGCAAATGGGTGAATCAGTCCTTCACCCACAAAGGAAAGCCTGGGAGGAAAATATCTAGGTAGCCAGACTTGACAGCAGCACATGTTCTCCAGCCGCACAAAGAGCATTAATGCTTTTCTCCCTCAGTTAGACCATAGTGAGAGCATCTCAACATTAGGCTTGTTAGGCTGCCCAAACAGCAAATCAGGAGACAAAATAGTTACTGGTGTCCCGGTCACACGGAGGATTTGCCTCTGGAAAGGCACGACTGCCGGGCGGATTAAATGGGTGTGATCATACGGAAACATCTGGGAAGCATCACCCACTCGTCCCCAGCTCGTAGCTTACCGCCGAAGATCCAGAGTTAAAAAGTACCACCCACAAGCTACTAGCAAACAGTTTGCCACGGGCCACAGATGGACTGTCTCCGTCTGATCGCCCCAGCGTGCTCCTTTTGCCCCGTTGAAGCGCTGCAAGAACCACAAGCCGACGAAAACAACGCGGTTTGCCACCGTCGCATCTGATCGCGTTGCAGTGCTTCGAATTGCGACGACACTAATAGCCAGGCCTCCTCCCCGCGTTTTCTGGCCCGTGTGACCTGGGCCTGGGCTGTACAACTTTACACCAAAGGTTAAAGTCACTCACATGGTTGAATGCTGCCTACTAAAGGGAGAGAGAAGGGATTCCTACACACAGAAAATCATTTTATCAGGGAGAAGGCTTAATTTTAACTCTTCTCTTTGATACTTAGGCTGGGGACATATAATACTTTCAGACTTTAAGGTGGATTGAAAGAGGAGCTACTGCTCAGAATGTGCATGCTCATCTCATTCTTTCCTCTAGCAATCATGTTTTAATATTTGTTCCAGCCACACCCTACAGCACCCCAGCTGAGGATGTAACGTGGAGGAGCCCGGGAACAGGCCAGGGTTGCCAGCTCTGGGTCTGGAAATTTCTTGAGAGGGTGGGGTTGGGGGGGGGATCAGAAGAGTATCATGCCATACAATCCACCTTCAGTTTTCTCCAGGGCAGGGCTCTTTTTGTAGAAAAAGCCCAGCAGGAACTCATTAGCATAATAGGCCACACCCAACAGCAGAAACTCATTAGCATATTAGACCACACCCCTGACAGCACAGATCATTAGCACATTGGGCCGCACCCCCCGTTACCCACTTTTTGCTTCTTATTCTGTTTACCTTGTTTGTTGTCAAAACCCAGGGCTTTTTTGTAGCAGGAACTCCTTTGCATGTTAGGCCACACACACCCTAATGTAGCCAATCCTAATGAGTTTCTGCTGTTGGGTGTGGCCTATTACGCTAATAAGTTCCTGCTGGGTGTGGCCAACTCAGGAGCCAGCCGGAACTCCATTCCTGTGCGTTCCTGCCCAAAAATAGCCCTGCGTCCAGGGGAACTAATGTATGTAGCCTGGAGATCAGTTGTGTCAAGAATCCCCAATCCAAGGGATTCTTGGTACAGGCCAGCAGAGCACAAAATTACAAAAGCCCTGGGGTGTGTTTCCACACACTCACCAGTCCTGATACCTGCCACCAGCCCCTTGGACTACCCACACAGTCAGAAGCTAAGGGGCAAGCTTCGAACCTTACTGGGATTAATCAAGAAAGCCAACCCTGCAAGGTAGGCCACTTGCAGAATGAGTTTCCACAACCGTTAACCTGGTAGGTGGACTCGTAAAGCCTAAGGTAACGGAATGGGAGTGAAGCATCTGAAGCACAGAACACACCAAATATAACCAAAGGACATTTATTAAAGGGTGCACGAATATGTCAAAAGAACATAGCAGTGAGAACTAAAACAAAGAAGCGGCATTCGAGAGACTAACAACACAGTACGGCATTAATTCAAAGTTACCAGATGTTATCCTTCTGAGTTGAAGTCAGGCAGCAATCCATGCCTCTGTCCAGAGAACATTTTGCCAGGCAAGAGCCTGGTCCATTCCGAGGTTAGCCCCAATAACCCAATTAAAAAATCAGACTATAGAAGTTAGGTCGACATGAGCCTGTTAGTAGCAGGTGGTCCAGGAGGGTATCACTTTATGGCGGGATGGAGGGTTACCTGCATTCTAACCCATCCCTCTGTGTAGTATGAATCATAGCACCAATTGAAGGAGTGCAGTGAAGCAGAGATGCAGTGGCGCCACAGTCCTGTCCCGTTTGGTGTAGTGGTTTGGTGTAGTGGTTAAGTGTGCGGACTCTAATCTGGGAGAACCAGGTTTGATTCCTCACTCCTCCACCTGCACCTGCTGGATGACCTCGGGCAAGCCATAGTTCTGGCACAGCTGTTCTTGAAAAAGAGCAGTTTCTGTTTGGTGTAGTGGTGTAGTGGTTAAGTGTGCAGACTCTAATCTGGGAGAACCAGGTTTGATTCCTCACTCCTCCACCTGCACCTGCTGGATGACCTTGGGCAAGTCATAGTTCTGTCAGAGCTGTTCTTGAAAAAGAGCAGTTTCTGTCAGCCCCACCTACCTCACAGGGTGTCTGTTGTGGGGAGGGGAAGGGAAAGGAGTTTGTAAGCCACTCTGAGACTCCTTTGGGTAGTGAAGTGTGGGGTATAAATCCAATCATCTCCTCGTCCTCCTCCTCCTCCTCTTCTTCTTCTCCTCAAATGGTTAGTCTCTGTACCTGAATTGTTATCCCAAGGTCACAAGGTCGATCTGCCAACACTTCAGTACCGATGGACAGTTATTTTCCATTTGGTCTCTTCAACCCATTTGCAGGCCTAGAGATTAATATGAGGCCTGGTGTTTAATGAAAGAACAAGAAATTGACCTTCACGTCCAATTTCTCAACAAGTTGTCATTCTGGGGGATCTCAAGCCACCACCTAGAGCTTGGCAACACTAGAACAGCCGCAAGAGAAACGGTGATTCAGCTATCGAAAGAAGTGCTAAGGCTGATTCCTGAGAGTAACTAAGGACAGGCAGGGGGTATGACTGCCAATATTAGCTTCCTCAGCAGTAGAGTCTCCTCTGGAGTTAAGACCAGTTTTTGTTCTTTCTTTGTTTTTATACCCTCCTTTTCTCTACCTTAAGGAGTCTCAAAGCTGCTTACAATCGCCTTCCCGTCCTCTCCCCACAACAGGCACCTTGTGAGGTGGATGGAGCTGAGAGAGTTCTGAGAGAACCATGATTGGCCCAAGGTCACCCAGCAGCCTTCATGCGGAGGAGGAGTGGGGAATCAAACCCAGTTCTCCAGATTAGAGTCTGCCGCTCTTAACCACTACACTACGCTGGCTTGAGAGTAGTCTGAAAGCTAGGGAAGCAGATGTGACAGGGAAAAGGTGGATAAGAGGCCGAAGCAGGAAAAAGTGGGGGTAGAGGAGACAGCTGGATAGTGATGGTAGAAAGCCTGGAATCAGGGCAGCTGGCACAGCCTGAAGAAACCAGACCTTTCCCTGGACAAGGAGTAAGACTTTCTGGTCTCCTGTATTGGTGGGAGACTTACTACCCGTAGATCTCCTCCCTTACCATTGCACAGAGGGCTGGCAGGGGAAGGGAATGAGGGGATCATCGATGATACAGTGACATCCCTTCTGGCATGATCCAAATGTTATGTCGCCACATAGGGCTGATACGCTAGCATTTGCCCAAACCCTATGGCTGAACCATAGAATCTTTGGCAAATTGTAGTGTATCACCCAATGCAACACTGTCCTTTCTGGATCGTGCCAGAAATAGAGCAAACATTGGGAGCATGGGCACAGGGGAGTGCAGAGTTGTGTGCACAGCAATGTCACTTCCAGGGCACTCTAGGAATTGCTGGGAACTGTATGGTAAAACGTGGGTCATTTCAGTATCGAGCCAGCCCTGGGAAAGGGGTGTTGTTCTTTAGAGGTCTGCAGAAAATCCTGTGGAAGGCAGGCTTCAAAGGAGCAGCGCTATGCAATTCTGATCCCACACTCACATCCTGACAGATGCTTACTTTCAAGCGGGTAATTATTATGCCTGTTATCAACACTAAAATGATGCATGCATCGGAGAGGGGGGACGTGATTAAATGTCTTGTTTGCCAGGTCTTAGCAGGGTACCGATAGTGGATGTGACCATCCCGAGCTTCATCTCTCCAGATACCCACACTGCCGTAGGGGGAGAGGCTGCAGCCGCAGGCCCCCCCTGCGAGCCTTCCTGGGCCTGATGATTAATGAGCAGTGAAGCAGAGGCAGCGTGGCATACTCTCTGTGCTTCCCCCGCCTCCCCCCCCCTTACTGCTTTTCAAGCTATCAACAGCAGGATTTGCTCTCATGAACCGCAAGAAATACAAATGAAGGGTTTGTTTGTATTTAGCTAATTAGATGACTAGCTGAGTGGGTATCGCACAAGCAGGCTCGGGAAAGCGGTCCCAGCAAAGTTAATTGCCAGAGTTGCTCAGAACGCTACGTCAGCCTCGTTCCTCGTTCGGAAGTTCTGCTGGCAAAGTCTGGTTTTTCTCCAGGAATAAATTGTGCAGATCTTTACAACTGGAGGTAAGAGGCTACAGCCAGTAGGGTTGCCAGCTCTGTGTTGGGAAATGCCTGGAGAATTTGGGGGGTGCAGCTTGAAGGGGATGGACTTTGGAGAAGGGGGAGACTCCAATGGGGGTGTGAATGAATGAATTTATTCACGGTCATTGACCAACACATAAACTGCTTTACGTTTTGTAACATAGAAAGAAAACATCACACTAAAATAGAAGCAGAATTTTTAAGACTGATTATAAAAACCATAAAACTGTAATGGTTAAAATTGATAAAACTAAATCTTAGTTCTCCTCTTTTAGATTTTCTAATTCTTCGGGCAAGCCATCCAAATCTAGCCACCCGATAAGTAACTTCTGCCGGGTTATCCGATAGCAAATTTCTTAAAAGGCAGATTCTTTACCCGCGAGAGAGGGGGAGTGTCTTACGGAAAGGAAGAGCTTCAATGGGGTATAATACCATGGAGTCCACCTTCCAAAGAAGGCCATTTTCTCCAGGTGAACTGATCCCTGGAGAGCAGATATAATAGCAGGTGCTCTCTAGCTACCACCTGGAAGTTGGCAACCCTAACGGGTGGGATGCTTGGTAAGTAGGGCTGCCAGCTCAGGGTTGGGAAATACCTGGACATTTGGGGGGTGGAGCCTGGGGAGGATGGAGTTTGAGAAAGGGAGGGACCTCAGAAGTGCATAATGCCCTAGATTCCTCCCTTCAAGGTAACCATTTTCTCCAAGGGAATTGATCTCTGTGGTCTGGAGATCAAGTGTAATACCAGGATATCTCCAGGCCACACCTGGAGGTTGGCAACCCTCTTGGTCATGAAGTGAAAACTTTGAGCGCAGAATGACAGCAGGAGAACCAGTTTGCCACCCAAGCAGTCTTACCTCCTCTTCTGTCTACTGTATCTGATCCATCTAAAGTGGGATTGTTTATATTTATGTATAATCTGGATTTATGAATCGCCCAGTCCCTGAATACTCAGGGCTCTGAACGATAAACAACAATAGAAACACATATCATTATAAAAACACATATCATAATAAAATGCTTGTTTAAAGCATTTTTCAAATGGCGCTAATACATCAGATTTCAGACTGCGGGAGAGGTAGGGAGAAAGCATGGAAAGGGGGGGGGAATGCCAGCCAAGATGGTGCCTGTCGCTGCCCACAACCAAAAGCCTGGCGGAACATCTCTGCCTTGCAGGCCCTGTGGAACTGCATCAGGTCCTGCTAGGGTTGCCAAGTCCATCTTCCACCCCCAGCGGGGGACTTTGGGGGCATTCCTAGAGGGGGCGGGGCATCCCCGACGGGATGACGTCATGTTGGGGATGTCCGCCCCCACCCACCCGCCGGTGTGCAGGATTTCCAGAAACAGCAGTTCTCTGCACTTAAAGGAGCCGGCGTTTCCCTTTTGGATGCAGGAGCTGGCGTTTCCCCTTTAAGAACAGCCGCGTTTCCCTTTTAAGAGCTGGGAGGATTTCCAGAAACGGCAGTTCCCTGCACTTGAAGGAGCCGGCGTTTCTCTTTTGGATGCAGGAGCCTGCGTTTCCCCTTTCAGAACAGCCGCGTTTCCCTTTCGAGAGCTGGAAGCTGGCATTTCCCTGCAAGCTTGCGGAGATTGGGCTTGGGAGGAAACACGGGTTCCACACACTTAGGGGGAGAGAGATGGGTGGCTGTGGGTGTTGGGGGTGGGGCTTCCCCCGCTGGCCACCTGGCCGGCGGTGGGTAGGAACCCCCGCCAAAACGGGGGACCCCTGGCAAACCGGGGGGTTTGGCAACCCTAGGTCCTGCAGAGCACATATATTATTTGGCCGAGAGTTCCACCAGGAGGCTGGTCGAGAACAGCCAGATTGCTGACTTAGTGGGAAGAAATACCTGGAGATTTTGGAGTAGAGCCTGGGGAAGGCGGGGTTTGTTGAAGGCAGGAGCCTAAGCGTGGTATAATGCCATAGAGCAGGGGTGGCCAAACTTGCTTAACGTAACAGCCACACAGAATAAACATCAGTTGTTTGAGAGCCGCAATACAAGAACAGATATCACACACACATTTTTTACTGAAAAACATGCAAATTTGCTTTTTTATAAACACTGGACTGCGTGAAAGAGCCACAAGCAGCTCCCGAGCTGCAGCTTGGCCACCCCTGCCATAGAGTCCACCCTTCCAAAGCAGCTATTTTTCCTCTAAGAAAACTAGTCTCTGTAGTCTAGGGTTGCCGACCTCCAGGTGGGGCTTGGAGGTCCTCCAGCATTTCAACTGATCCCCAGATGACAGAGATCAGGTCCCTGGAGAAAATGGTTGCTTTGGAGGGTGGAGTTTATGGCATTATACCCCACTGAGGTCCCTCCTCTCCTCAAACCCCAACTTCCTCAGGCTCCAGCTCCAAATCTCCAGGAACTTCCCAACCTGAAGATGGCAACTCTATGTGTAGTCTGAAGATCAGTTGTAATTCCAGGAGATATGCAGGTACCACCAGAAGGTTGGTAACCCTAGGTGAGCTGCAAGGAAGGCACTTCCTCTGCAGCCCAACTTGATTCCTGCTGGGGGTGGAATAGACTCATCCACATATTATTAGAGTGGGCAATGTCTTGCGACCACCTCCCACTGCTGATCAAACTTGGGGAAAAGTGATGTCACTTCTGGCTAAAACCTGGACACAGTGTCACTGATGTTCTAGGACTTTGCCGATCTCTATTGGTTTTACCATATGACTTCCCCATGCTCTGCCTTCTAAATCTTCCAAGGGGTTCTAGGCACATGCCCGAAAACCCTACTATGGTTTATACACATTGGGTTTGAGGAGCACATGCTGTGTTCTGCGCAACACAGAGACCCAAAAGTTAGAACAGTGGCAAAAAGAAGAGAGAAAGAACGGACAGACAGATTCCTTTCCCATCTGCTATTTTGGCATAATTGAGTTGAACAAAGTTTAGGTTGTTCAATGCTCTGAGGATACAGTCAGCATATGATATCTATCTCTGATGCCTCTATCACCCCCCTGGGTACAGTAAGAGAATGGCTCGCACCATTGCTCTGAGGCACGGAGCAGTATTCCCCTTTTAGAGTAGGCTCATGAGGCTTCGAGACTGTGCGGACCAGAATTTTTATAAATGACACACATCCGGAGGTGAAAGTCTCATGATCACAGTGCGCCGAGTGGCCTGGTGTTCTTTTGTAAAGTACAGTCATAGGAAGGGTGCTCCACGTGGCACGGGGTCTCATTAGACAGCTTCACTGGGCTGCAAAGAATTTGGGGCACAACTCACACAGGGTCCCACAGTCCCTAAAAACTACTAAATATATTGTATTATTAGGGATGCCAGCCTTCAAGTAGCACCTGGTGATCCCTTGCTATTACAACTGATCTCCAGACAATCAAAATTAGTTCCCTTGGAGAATATGGCTGGTTGGGAGGGTGGACTCTATGGCATTATACCTGTTGAGGTCCATCCACTCCCCAAACCCCACCCTCCCCAGGCTACACTCCAAAAATCTCCAGGAATTTCCCAACCCAGAGCTGGGAACCATATGTATTATAAGTCTCAGTGGACCAGAACAAGTGATGAGAGGACTCGTCCCTGTTCATATACAGCCTACTGGAAATACTAGAAATACTTCAGGGAAACGAAGTTTTGTCACTGAATGGTCTCCAAATGTTCGGCAACACAATCCCAGTCCCAACAGCATCCGTGGTTCCCAACAACAATATATGCTGCCGTGCATGCTGGGAACTTCTATGTGCTCTGTTGTTAACTGTGTCCTTTTCCAATGTGTTACTGTTCCGGATAATTCTGCTTCTCACCTCAAGTGAGACTCATCAAAACCCCTTCAAGTCCTATCTAGTGTCACTTGTTCTTTCACCCTCTGTTGCTGCTACTTATCCTTCAAACTCAGGGCTTGATATTTGTTTACTGTTGGGGGGGGGAGGGTGCCTATGCAAACACATCAACTACACACCATCTGCTATCTAGATCCAGTGATTATTTCCAATTTCCAGGAGGCAATTGTCAGGAATCAAGCTAGAAAGGGGTCTTCAGCTGCTGACCTAAAGGGTATCAGGCAGGAAACTGGTGTGTGTAAGATAGCCAGCTTCCTTGTAGGGTCTGGAAATTTCCCGGAATGACAACTGATTTCCAGACTATAGAGATCACTTCCCATATTGAAAATGGCTGCTTTGGAGGGTGGTAGGGCTGCCAAGTGGGGGCGGGGAAACCCCCGCTTTGGAGGCCCGATTTCCACCGTGGCGGAATCGGGCCCTGGGGGGAACTCTGCCATGTCACTCACGTTGGGGGCGTGGCCCAGATCGTCAGGGGGGAAACTCCCGGACGATCTGGGCCACGCCCCCAACGTGAACGATGTAGCATGTCCCTTCCTGTGATGTGATGGTGGCGCGCACACGTCCTGGGTGAACTCCCGGAGCCCGGCAAGGCTCCCCCATCGGCAAGGGTAAGTACACTTGGCAACCCTGGAGGGTGGACGCAATGGCATTATATCAAACTGAGGTCCCCCCTCCAAACTTCACGCTCCTCAGGCTCCACCCCCAAATTTCCAATCCCTTTGTGTGTATGTGTGTGTGTGTCCAGGTGTGTACCCCAACACTCAGCTCTAAACAAAGGCAAGAATCACATGAAGATCAGCCAGATCAGCCTGGAAGCTTCTTTTATATCAGTAGGCCATAGCTGATGACATGATAACCTCTGAGGGCTACATAAAAGCTTCTAGGTCAAACGTGCTTGTCATTCTCATTCTCCTGGTGGTGGCTTGCCTTGCCTATACCCTCCCCTTTGCCACTCTTCACCCTGCTCTGCCCTCACATGAAAACGAGACAAGTCTGAAAGCAGCAGATCAAGAAGGCTTACTAGAGAGATCCCGGCCAACTCCGAGAGCAAGCCCATCTTTAATCCACAGCACGATGCCGTTATATTCCGGAATTGCACACAACAGGGTCACGGGCTGCCCGGCGATCACTACCTGGTCCTGAGGCTGCTGGGTGAAGGAAGATGCTGGGCCTGGAGAAAGAGACAAGAAGTACCGTCAGTGCTCACGTGCTAAATCCAAGAGCTTGAACAGTGGCTTTCACAAGCATCCCGCTTTCAGGAAGCCCTTTCTATGCCAGTTTGTCTACTCAGGAACTCCTGGCAGAGGGAGAGTATTTGACAATGCCTTCTGAGTTTACAAAGGGCACCAGAGCCTGATCTTGACAGATCTCAGAAGGTAAGCAGGGTCAGCCCTGGCCAGTATTGAGATGGGAGACCTACAAGGAATTCTGAGGTTGCTATGCAGAGGAAGGCAACGGCAAACCACCTCTGGATATCTCTTGCCTTGAAAACCCTCTGGGTTCACCCATAAATCAGCAGCAGCTTGACAGCACTTTCCACCATCAGTAATTCAGTCTGCGTGACCACCAGAAGGACCCACCCCCAATCCTTGACTACTGGGACACAAGGGCATAGCACTGATCCCTGACCAATGGGCACCAATGAAGGTTGAGGGAGTGTGAAGGTGTTGCGAGTCATGTTCTTTCCCTGTGTGCTTACAGATGCATGTGTGCATGAGTGTGTGCACCACGGTTCCATAGAAAGTCATTTTGCCCATAGCTCTCACAAACCTGAGGCCAGTCCAGTATCAGCGAAACATTTTATGCTTTGCCTTTACCCCACAGGTAAGAAAGGTGACCCCTACAATGCACACTACACCCTGCAGAGGAAAGAAGCTATCAGTGGACATCAGTCATAAGAACATAAGAGAAGCCCATGTTGAATCAGGCCAGTGGCCCATCCGGTCCAACACTCTGTCACACATTGGCCAAAAATACCAGGTGCCATCAGGAGGTTCATCAGTGGGGCCAGGGTCCATCAGTGGGGCCATCTGCCTTTCTGAGAAGCTTATCTGACATTTCTCAGCTTCTAATCAAGAACCCTCAACACGCTTTTGAGAAATCCAAAGGATCCCTAGGAACACAGTTTGAAAATCCTCAGCTAGAAGGGATGGAGTATAGCTTTTTTTTAAAATCTATTTCGCTTCATTTTGTTGTCTCAGTCAAAGACCAGAACAATTAATGTCAAAGCATGAGTTCTCATAAGGACATATCAAAACCAAATGGAACTCCCAAATTCAGCAGAAGAATACCAGAGTTACCCGTCTTGGTCTGACCAATAGCCAAGGCTGTGTATAGTTGCCTAATCAAATCCAAACACCACACTAAGGGAAGTTAGATTTCCATACTGCACATGAATCATATTCTGGACCATTCATTCTGAGTCCAGAGTCCAGTAGCACCTTAAAGAGTAACAAAATTTGTGGCAGCTTTTGTTAGAATCTGAAAAAGTGAGCAGTGACCCACGGAAGCTTATCCCCTGTCACAAATTTTGTTAGTCTTTAAGGTGCTACTGGACTCTGGCTCTTTTGTACTGCAGACAGACTAACATGGCTACCCATCTTTTTTTTTTTTTGTAAAGATTTTATTAGCTCCCCTAAAAAGGGGAGGTATTTCGCTTAAAAGAAAAAAAAGGGAAGGGTAGACAGCGGGAGAAAGAGAAAGCTGAGTGATATATAAACTGGTAAATTAAACTGTTAGTAATGTCCAATTAATTTTCTTGGGCTTCTTCTGTGTGTTGTCAAACTTCTTTTCTTAGTTCAGTCACATATAATTCTCTGTTAATATGTTAGTAATGTTCCCTTGAATTTCTGTTAATGTTCCCTTGAGTTCCCTTGAGTTTCTGTTAATAAAAAAAGAAAAATCTCTTCTGGACACAGTCAGAACCGCTTCTTTGCGTGCTGGGCACTTTTACTATCGCTGACGTGCAGGGGCTTCCTCTGTTGTCTTCTACTTCCGGCTTGTTAAATCCTCCTTCGGGTTGCTGTTAACATACTCAGTTCATGCACTATAAATCCTCTTCCTTTCATGCCTTGGAGGTCCCCAACTTTGAGAATGGTATTAATTTCATTTCGCTTTTATTTCCGCTCCCAAACTCTCTATTGGGTCCTCCTCGAAACTGGATGTATATAAGCGCTTGCCAGGCACTCCTCGCTGTCACAGTTCAAACTTTTCCATTTTACAGAACTCCCGTCGGATTCACAACCATAAACAGTCCAAAACACTAAACAGCCGGTTCTCACACACAAGCAAACGCCCAGACGGAAGTCCCTCCCTCCTCCGCTCGTTTTTGCCCAGCTCCGACATCTTTTCTTTTTTGACATGGCTACCCATCTTGATCTATCTCCTAGGGAGGGGAGGGTTTGGACAGGGGAGGTACCTCAGTGTGATATGATCACAGAATCATAAAATCATAATGCCACAGAGTACACCTTCCAAAGCAGCCATTTGCTCCAGGGGAACTGATCTCTGTATTCTGGAGATCTCCAGGTCCCACCTCGAGGATAGTAACACCAAAAAAGAGAATCACGGAAAAGGTTAGCAAGTTAGCAAACAATATATAACACTGTGACAGGACAACTGGCGACTTAAGAAAACAGTGAGGACATAGGAACCTAGTATTCATCTCCACAGTACGGAGCTTTTTTTGTGATCTAGGATGAATGTTTCTGTATGCCCAGAGACTAGAATTTGGATCTCTTGTACACCTTAAAACTGTTTATTCAGATTGAAATTTCTGCGTGTTCAGATACTGTATTCTAACTGGAAATTTAGGAGTTGTTAAATTTGATATACCGGCAAATTGTAATTTGTATGTCTATAAAATACAATTCATAAAATCACTGTTTTCTTCAGTCACCAGTTGTCTTGTCAGTGTTATTGTTTGCCCACTTGAAGGATGGCAGCCTTGCCTCTTAGTGATGGTAGGCTACCCTTTTGCTTTCGATGGCTAGTAGTAACAAGCTGAAACTTATTTCAGAAATCAAAGCCTTGATAACACTGAAGCTCTAAAAATTAAAGGACTGCTGAGCGTTGAGACGTTCCAGATATTTCACCCAACCTGTGCAAGTCCTCTGCACGTCACTGAGCATCATCCAATTATTCAGCACCCAGCAATTCCACATAATGTGCACTGAATTAGCCCAGTTATCACAGCAATCTGATCATTTCTCTTACTTCAGAAACTATTGTTGGAGTTAATGTTGATCGCTCTCTTCTTTTCAAATGTTCAGAGTTCAGACCCATTAGTAATTCTTTTTTTAGAATGCAGGCCTCATATCATTTATCCTTTTAAGCCCTTTCTCTGAAATGGAGGAGGGCCAGTCTATCCATCTATATCCTGCCTTTCCTCCAAAGAGCTCAAGGCAACATGCATGATTCTCCCTCCTGCTAGTTCATCCTTGGAAGAACTCTGTGAGACTGGTGCGGTTGCCATCCCCCAGGTGGGGGCTGGAGATCTCCCAGAGTTACAACTACTCTCCAGACTACAGAGATCAATTCCTGTGGAGAAAATGGTGACTTTGATCGGTGAACTCTATGAGCTATGATACACTGCTGAATGCCCCCCCCCAACCCCACCTTCCCCAGAATCAATCCCCAGGTCTCCAGGAATTTCCCAACTGAGAATTGGCAACCCTAGAGATCAGATGGGCTGAGAGAGAATGGCTAACCCAAAGTTACCCAAAGTTATGGAACAGTGGAGATTTGAACTCAGGTTCCAAGCTTAGTCCAATCTCTACCCTGGCTTTCAAGATAAGCCACAAGAAGACAGGTATGGATCAGGCCTCTTATTTATTTATAAAAGGTGTGCCCCATCTTTCTTCCATTTCAGGGCCACCCAGGTGGCTAACAATTAAAACAAGCATTATTATAACACATCATAAAAGCAATTAAAACAAAAACTTAAAAAACCTATTTAGAAGCGCAAGAAAAAACACAGTCATTAAGACATAGAGAAGGGATGATTGAGGGAATGCCAGACAAAACAAGGAAGTCTTCAGCTACAGATGGAAGACAGTGGCAGAAAGGGACAGATGGCTATCCATGGGGAGAGAGTTCCATAGTTTTTGGAGCCAGGGCTAAAGAGGCCTTTTCCTGGGTTGCTACCCACTAGGGCTGCCAAGTTTGGTTTGGAAAGTCCCTGGAGATTTTGGAGGTGGAGCCTGGGGAGAGACCTCAGCAAGGTACAATGTCGTAGAATCCACCCTTCAAAGCGGCCATTTTCACCAGGAGAACTGATCTGGAGTTCACTTGTAATTCTGGGAGACCTGCAGGCCCCTCCTGGAGGTTGGCAACTCTACCACTCACCTAGTCATCTGAAGCAGACCCTCAGAAGATGACTGTAGAGGCTGGGAAGGTTTGTATAGTAATGAACTGATACCTCATTTTGTCTTTGGACAGGTACAAATCGAGGAACCAGACAGTTGGCTGTCCAACCTCGATCCACAAGACTTGCTTTCTTATCTGCTGGGCACAAACACTTGGGCACACGCAGCTTCCTGCATTCCAGTCTCCCCATGTCGGCCCACATGCCCAGTGGCACCCATACATCCTCTGCGTGGCATATCACTGGTTGTTGGTTTTCCCTAAATGACGGAACTTCACCAAACCTGCTCACAAGTAACATGTGAAACTCAAGAGAACTGAGTTGGAGTCCAGTGCAGTGTTCCCTCTAAGCTGAGTGAGTGTGAGCTAGCTCACAGTTTTTTAGCCTCCAGCTCACACGTTTTTGTCTCAGCTCAGGAAGGAGGGCTCCAGTGCAAATTAATTTATGCAGTAGCCAAATCGCTCACTCCCAGCGTTAAGGCCAGTAGCTCACAAAGTAGAATTTTTGCTCACAAGTCTGCGCAGCTTAGAGGGAGCATGGGTCCAGTGGCACCTGTAAGCCCAACAAAGTTTAATTCTGGGTATAAGCTTTCGTGTGCATGCATACGTCATCAGATGCGTGCATGCACACGAAAGCGTATACCCAGATTTAAACTTTGCTGGTCTTAAAGGGGCTCAAACTTTGTTCTGTTGCCACCCACCTGAATCTTTCTCCATGTGAAACTCAGTTCAACTTGGCACTTATAGAGAAGCTGGGGGAAGGTCTGCTGTTCAGCCTCTCTTTCCTCTAGATCCCTTGGCTGCTGC